GGGTTGGTCCTGGAATCGTTTGCAAGTCTGAGTCCCCCTCCCCGCTCTAAATCTCGAGAGCCGGAGCAGCCGGACGGGGTGTCTCCCGCAAGGGGGTCGCGACGCCTGAGATGCCCCTTCCAGGGTGGCTCTCCGGGGCTGGGCTCGTGGCCCGAGCAGGGGCCGTTACATGTCCCCACTGCCCAGAAGAGCACGTCCCTTCGCCTCCAGCCTGCGAGGCTGAGAACTCGGATTCAGGGGAGCAGAGGCCTGGGGGCTCAGGCTGCTCCATCTCCCCTGCTCGGCCCCCCGTCCGCACTGGCCCCAGGCCGTGACCCTGGGCCATGCTGCACAGGCACGACGCGACTGCAGCACCCCCGGGCCAGACATGAGTTGGGGCTCAGACCTGGAGGGGCTCGCGTCCAGCTCGGCCGCCCTCTGTAGGACCTGCTCTCCCCTGCTCTCCCCTTGCTGGGGAGGGAGGCAGCTCACCCTCTGAATTCTCCTTCCTTGGCTCCCGCAGCCTGTTCAGAGAGACCGGGCCTTCCAGTCGGAGCGGGAGAACGGGAAGATCTTCAAGGGGCACAGGTCAGTCTCCACCAATCCCTGCCCCTTTCCTGACCTCCAGACCAGTCCCCGCATCCCCGCTGCCTCCCCGTAACCCAGCGCCGGCGGCTGTCCCTCTGTCCGCAGGAACCAGGTGACCTGTCTGTCCGTCTCCACGGACGGCAGCCTGCTGCTCTCCGGCTCACACGACGAGACCGTCCGGCTGTGGGACATCCAGAGCAAGCAGTGCCTGCGGACGATGAATCACAAAGGTGAGGCCGGCTCCGGCGCCCCGCCCAGCCCAGCCCACCCGGCCAGCGAACGGCTCCGGCCAGCCTGCGCCTGTGTGTGACCGTCTGAGCCGAGCCGTCCCCTTCCCCTCGTGCTGGGGGGGGCAGCTTAGCCCCCTCATCCCCAGCGACTTGGCCACTGGACGGGGGGCCCCAGCTGCTCAGTGATGCCGCCGCGCTCCGGGGTGCTGCTCGCCGCTGCTCTGGCGAATGCTCAGAATGCAGCCGGGCAGAACTGGGGGCCCCTGAGCTGGGCTGAACCTGGGGGCACGGATCCAGCCGGCTGAGGCCCACATGCCCAAGTGGGGGTGTAGCGAGTAGTCAGCTACCCCATAAGCCTGGCCTTCTCGGGCAGTCACGTCTACCCCCTGGGTGGCCACCCAAGCGCTCAGCCTACTGCCCCCCATCACTGCACGTCCTGTCGCGCCAGCTGAAGCAGGAGCGTCCCCAGGCACGTTCAGCTTCCTTTCACCGAGCTAAAGCTCCCTGCCCCAGGACTGCTTGGGGCCAGACTGGGGCCCCTCCTCCCCCGCTCTCTGATCTCCCAAAGCAGCCGACCTCAGCACGGTGCGCTGCCCCCAGCGGGCCCTGCTGAGTCCTGCGTCTGGCGCCCTGCCCCGAACCCAGGAGCCCCGGCTGCTCCGAGGCTCCGCTCCCTGCCCGAGCCAGGACCAGAACCCAGGGGCCCTGAGCCCTGCTCCTGGTGCCGAACACAGGGTCCCGCTGTGTCCCAGAGCTAGGAATAGGACCCAGGAGTCCTGCTGCTGCCCTGCCCTTCCCAAGCACGTTGGCACCGTGGGAATTTCCCCGGCTCTTGCTTTTCCCCCAGGCCCGGTTACAAACGCCTTCATTGTGATGGCCCCAGCCAGCATGTGTAACCCGGACAGCAAGCCCAGCGTGCCGCTGCCCAAGTTCAGCAAACACCTGCACGGGACGGAGAGCGGCGAGGAGCCAGGATCCGAGGGGGTGACGGGGCGTCTCGG